AGCATCTTGCTGTGGGGATGTTTTTCAGTGGCAGGGACTGGGAGACTACTCAGGATCGAGGGACAGATGAACGGAGCAAAGTACAGAGAGATCGTTGCTGAAAACCTGCTCCAGAGCGCTCAAGACCTCAGACTGGGGCGACGGTTCACCTTCCAACAGGACAACAACCCTAAGCACCCAGCCAAGACAACGCAGGAGTGGCTTCGGACAAGTCTCTGAGTGGCCCAGCCAGATCCCGGACTTGAACCCCATCAAACATCTCTGGAGAGACCTGAAATAGCTGTGCAGCGATGCTCCTCATCCAACCTGACAGAGTTTGAGAGGATCTTCAGGGAAGAATGGGAGAAACTCCCCAAATACAGGTGTGCCAAGCTTGTAGCATCATACCCAAGAAGACTCTAGGCTGTAATTGCTGCCAAAGGTGCTTCAACAAAGTACTGAGTGATAGAAACAGAAAAGACTGAGCCATATGTACAGTATTTGTTCGTCACTGTTACCTTGAAGGCCATGTGTCTTTTAAAACATTGTAAGCCCTTTATAAGCCCCATAATATCCTACATTATATGCATCTTCTCTTCTATCCTTAATTTCTGTCATTCATATAGAGAGAATTCAGTTGAATCTTTTGTATTCTATACATTTAGATCTATAGTTGTCTTACACAACATTAACGGTAAGTAGCTTTACGTAAAATGTGATAGTCACACATGTATAAAATGTAATTTAGTGCTTCTGAGTTAAACATTTATGTTGGTATTGAGTTATAGAGTATATTATTAGACCATACCTGAGCCTATGAGGTTTAACCTTTTTTCGTTCTGGTTCTGCACTTTTCTCTTTATCAGCATTTTATTATTTCCTACAATACTCCAGGGTTAGTAGTACAGCACTATGGGTAGGGTTTGTGGGTGCAACATACCCATAGAAATTTATTGTATAGAACAAATACTTTGTAAAACATATGGGTTGTCTGTCATGAGGTTTAGTGTCAACTCTATTACATTTCTATCTGCAACACTGAATGTTTCACCTCACTGAATACACCCCATCTAGTCCCGTGTAGCTCAATTGGTAGAGCATGGCACTTGCAACGCCAGGGTTGTGGGTTCGATTCCCACGGGGGACCAGTACGAAAATGTATGCACACACTAACTGTGAGTCGCTCTGGATAAGAGCGTCTGCTAAATGACTAAAATGTTAAATGTAGTATGTATACAGTATAGAATATAAATGTCATATTTCTTTTTTTTCTTCTTTTTTTTTCAAATTTGCAAACATTTCTCAAAACCAGTTTTTGCGTTGTCATTATGGGGTACTGTGAGTAGATTGCTTAGAAAAACAACAACAATTTTATCAATTTTAGAATAAAGCTGTAACGTAACAAAATCAGGAAAAAGTAAAGGGTCTGAATACTTTCCGAATGCACTGTATGTATGTATATATGCGGAGACACTTGAAACCCCACCTCTTTAAGGAATACCTGGGATAGGATAAAGTAATCCTTCTACCCCCCCTTACCCCACCACCCCAAAAAAAAAATAAAAAAAATAAAATAAACATATTGTAAAGTGGTTATCCCACTGGCTATAAGGTGAATGCACCAATTTGTAAGTTGCTCTGGATAAGAGCGTCTGCTAAATGACGTAAATGTAATGTAAAATGTGTATATATATATACAGTACCAGTCAAAAGTTTGGACACACCTTCAAGGGTTTTTCTTTATTTTTACTATTTTCTACACTGTAAAATAATAGTGAATACATCAAAACAATGAAATAACACATATGGAATCATGTTGTATCCAAAAAAGTGTTAAACATATCAAAATATATTTTAGATTCTTCACAGTAGCCACCCTTTGCCTTGATGACAGCTTTGCACACGCTATACCTTTATCAGGACGGGATGTGTGTGTCTCTGCAGAAACATCTTTATACAGGAAGTGTTTATCTTTCAATTTACCAAAGTCCAGTGAGGGAAGAGAGAGGAGGAGAGACAACCCTTAATGATGTCTCAATGACACATCTGACGATTACCTTACTAACACACACAAACACACACGCAAGTACGCACGCACGCGCACACACACGCACACACACACACACACACACACACACACAAACACACACCAGGTCAGTCCTGCTGATAAACAACAGGCCAGTATTTACTAACAGCATGACAGCTCAGTCAGATCACTAGTATTTTCATTTCCCGATGAAGATGAAACTTTCTTGAGGCCAGTGTAAAAAGGAATGGATTCTCAGAATTATGATTTCTTGCAAAATGTCACATTGTTGATACTTAGTAACTGTACCTGTCTAGCATGTATGACTCATGTCTACTGCGTGTGTGTTTGTGTGTACAGTGGGGGAAAAAAGTATTTAGTCAGCCACCAATTGTGCAAGTTCTCCCACTTAAAAAGATGAGAGAGGCCTGTAATTGTCATCATAGGTACACGTCAACTATGACAGACAAATGGAGAATTTTTTTTCCAGAAAATCACATTGTGGTATTTTTAATGAATTTATTTGCAAATTATGGTGGAAAATAAGTATTTGGTCACCTACAAACAAGCAAGATTTCTGGCTCTCACAGACCTGTAACTTCTTCTTTAAGAGGCTCCTCTGTCCTCCACTCGTTACCTGTATTAATGGCACCTGTTTGAACTTGTTATCAGTATAAAAGACACCTGTCCACAACCTCAAACAGTCACACTCCAAACTCCACTATGGCCAAGACCAAAGAGCTGTCAAAGGACACCAGAAACAAAATTGTAGACCTGCACCAGTCTGGGAAGACTGAATCTGCAATTGGTAAGCAGCTTGGTTTGAAGAAATCAACTGTGGGAGCAATTATTAGGAAATGGAAGACATACAAGACCACTGATAATCTCCCTCGATCTGGGGCTCCACGCAAGATCTCACCCCGTGGGGTCAAAATGATCACAAGAACGGTGAGCAAAAATCCCAGAACCACACGGGAGGACCTAGTGAATGACCTACAGAGAGCTGGGACCAAAGTAACAAAGCCTACCATCAGTAACACACTACGCCGCCAGGGACTCAAATCCTGCAGTGCCAGACGTGTCCCCCTGCTTAAGCCAGTACATGTCCAGGCCCGTCTGAAGTTTGCTAGAGTGCATTTGGATGATCTAGAAGAGGATTGGGAGAATGTCATATGGTCAGATGAAACCAAAATATAACTTTTTGGTAAAAACTCAACTTGTCGTGTTTGGAGGACAAATAATGCTGAGTTGCATCCAAAGAACACCATACCTACTGTGAAGCATGGGGGTGGAAACATCATGCTTTGGGGCTGTTTTTCTGCAAAGGGACCAGGACGACTGATCCGTGTAAAGGAAAGAATGAATGGGGCCATGTATCGTGAGATTTTGAGTGAAAACCTCCTTCCATCAGCAAGGGCATTGAAGATGAAACGTAGCTGGGTCTTTCAGCATGACAATGATCCCAAACACACCGCCCGGGCAACGAAGGAGTGGCTTCGTAAGAAGCATTTCAAGGTCCTGGAGTGGCCTAGCCAGTCTCCAGATCTCAACCCCATAGAAAATCTTTGGAGGGTGTTGAAAGTCCGTGTTGCCCAGCGACAGCCCCAAAACATCACTGCTCTAGAGGAGATCTGCATGGAGGAATGGGCCAAAATACCAGCAACAGTGATTGAAAACCTTGTGAAGACTTACAGAAAACGTTTGACCTGTGTCATTGCCAACAAAGGGTATATAACAAAGTATTGAGAAACTTTTGTTATTGACCAAATACTTATTTTTCACCATAATTTGCAAATAAATTCATTAAAAATCCTACAATGTGATTTTCTGGAGAAAAAAAATCTCATTTTGTCTGTCATAGTTGACGTGTACCTATGATGAAAATTACACGCCTCTCTCATCTTTGTAAGTGGGAGAACTTGCACAATTGGTGGCTGACTAAATATTTTTTTTCCCCACTGTACATACGTACACATACACGTAAATTAGTTTTATTTGTTAAGAATATACACTCAGTACTTAGATACCCCCTTCATTGTTATCCTAAAAATTTTTTTTTTTTTTTTTTTTTTTTTTGTCATTTAGCAGACGCTCTTATCCAGAGCGACTTACAGGAGCAAGTAGGGTTAAGTGCCTTGCTCAAGGGCACATCGACAGATTTTTCACCTAGTCGGCTCGGGGATTAGAACCAGCGACTTTTCGGTTACTGGCACAACGCTCTTAACCACTAAGCTACATGCCGCCCCATAGTGTGCTACAGTACTTCAGTCCTCCTGTCAAGCCTCCCTCTTAATTAGGCTTAATTGGCAACGAGGTGTTTAATTAAAGGTTTAGAGAGGAGGGAGTTCCTGCTGGAAACGTATGGCAAATTAATCAGGTCCTATATAACAGCCTACCTTTGAAGATGTGAATACCACAGCGTGTGAGTGTGTGTGTGAGTGTGTTTGTTTGTGTGTCTTTAGGTGCCTTCTTTCAAGATCTGGTCTGTTACGCTACGTAAACACATGACATTCATAGGAAAACATGTCAAGCTCAAAATGTAACAACTTCAATGACTGAAAATCTGCATTGACCAGCTTCAGAATCATCCCAGTTAGCTTTTTCCTCTCAGTATACAGGAGCATATTGAAGGCATCAAGAGTGGATCCTGGGATGAGTCAAACTCAGACTGTTCACAGTTTCTTATTGTATTTTCTCTTGAACTTACCAGATAGCTATTTGAGAACAGGCTCTCTGTTCTTTTCACTTCGCACAGATTTGCCATTCAAATCAATCAAAAAAAAGTACAAGCAGAGTGCATAAATTAAACAAACATTTAGAGGCAATTACATAATCAGTTATCAACGAAAATATCAACTTGGCGTAATCAATATGAAAAGGGATACCGTCGTGAAATAAAACAATGCTAATACCAACAATATAATGATTGTTTAAATAGCTGATGTATTCTACATGATGGGGAGATTTCACATTTCTCTGTCAATTCCTACTGTGACTACAGCACAACTCTCTCCCAGGGCACAGTACGGGCTACTTCACTGGATCTTCTCTGCAGCATAAATCTGGCCAGGACCCCAGGAGCCATGATCATACTAGAGTTATATATATATATATATATATATATATATATATATATATATATATATATATATATATATATATATTCAGGTATGTCTTCCAGAAAAAGACACAGCCCATTGCAGGTATTATGGATTTGTTATGGGAAGAGTAGAACCCAACCCAGGAGTTATTCAACCTTAACTTCCAGTCAGTGAATTACTTTTTTACAAACAGGCGAGCGCAGGCCTTTCCATCCTTGACAAATAGCTGCAGACTGGAGTTAGGCCTATACCCACTTAGATCAACAGGAATCTCTCCATTGGCATTATGAAACTCAGGACTCCTACATATTTCGTAGACAATAGTGGGACGTCTAAAAAACCTTGTAAAGAAATATGGTGACTTCTTGTGGATCCTGACACTGTCTAGTTTGCTCTCACTTCCATTGTTCTCATAAAGCACCACCATTACACCCTGGTCCAATAGCCTCTTGGGGATACCACTCCAGATTATCTTGGCTTTTCCTTCTTGTATGGTTTTCACTTCAAGTTTAATTGATTTAGAGTTGCCATCCTCCATGCCACTCTGGGTTTCAACTGCACCAAGCCTTCGTGGTCTACATGACTCTCGTCGGAAGTACAATACAATTGCTATAAGAAGTGACAGACCATTAGAGCACACTGGCCCCCGCCAGATGCGTTCAAGATCATTCAGTATGTTGTTGTTGAACTCTACATTAAATCTACGTGGAATTTCAGATTGGGCAATGGTTGAGAGACTTTGGATCTGTCTTAAGAGGTTTGGGGTGATGCGGTAGGTGTTCTCTGGGTCGTATGCTGTACCTAGGTTCTGGTTGTATGGATGGTGCTGTGTGATGAAGACATTATCCACTGCTATAGACTGATCTAACCTTTCTGGACTAACTTGGACTATAATCATGTCCTTGTTTCTCTCATCAAATCAAATCAGATCAAATGTCATTGGTCACATACACATATTTAGCAGATGTTATTGCGGGTGTAGCGAAATGCTTGTGTTCCTAGCTCCAACAGTGCAGTAGTATCTAGCAATTCACAACAATACAGACATATCGGGCAAGGATTTCTTTCCAGAGAGACATGAAGGCCTGTAACATACTCTGTTTCACGGAAACATTGCTCTCTTGAGATATTCTATTGGAATCGGTCCAGCCAGATGGGTTCTCAGTTCATCACGCAGACAGGAATAAATATCTCTCCGGGAAGCAGAAGGGCGGAGGTGTGTGTTTCATGATTAACGACTCATGGTGTAATTGTAGTAACATACAGGAACTCGAGTCCTTCTGTTCACCCAACCTAGAATATCTCACAATCAAATGCCGACCGTATTATCTCCCAAGATAATTTTCTTTGGTTATAGTCACGGCCGTGTATATCCCCCCTCAAGCCGATACCACGACGGCCCTCAAAGAACTTCACTGGACCTTATGCAAACTGGAAATCACATATCCCGAGGCTGCATTTATTGTAGCCGGGGATTTTAACAAAGCAAATTTGAGGACTAGGCTGCCGAAGTTCTATCAACATATCGACTGTTGTACTCGCGCTGGTAAAATCCTCGACCATTGCTATTCGAACTTCCGGGATGGTTATAAGGCCCTCCCCCGCCCTCCTTTCGGCAAATCTGACCACGACTCCATTTTGCTTCTCCCTTCCTATAGGCAGAAACTCAAACAGGAAGTACCCGTGCTAAGGACTATTCAACGCTGGTCTGACCAATCGGAATCCACGCTTCAAGATTGTTTTAATCACGCGGACTGGGATAATAATTTAGACGTCTACACTGAAACGGTGACTGAGTATATCAGGAAGTGTACAGGTGATGTGCCCACTGTGACTATTAAAACCTACCCTAACCAGAAACCGTGGATAGATGGCAGCATTCGCGCAAATCTGAAAGTGCGAACCACTGCATTCAACCATGGCAAGGTGACTGGGAATATGGCAGAATACAAACAGTGTAGCTACTCACTCCGCAAGGCAATTAAACTGGCAAAACATCAGTATAGAGACAAAGTGGAGTCGCAATTCAACGTTCAGACACGAGACGTATGTGGCAGGGTCTACAGACAATCACGGACTACAAAAGGAAAACCAGCCACATCGCCGACACCAACATCTCGCTTCCAGACAAGCTAAACACCTTCTTCGCCCGCTTTGAGGATAACACAGTGCCACTGACGAGGCCCACTACCAAGGACTGTGGCCTCTCCTTCTCCATGGTCGACGTGATTAAGACCTTTAAGCATGTTAACTCCCGCAAGGCTGCCGGCCCAGACGGCTTCATCACCCAGCGAACTGTCCCCGTGCTTCTCCGGGTGGCAGGAGGGCTATGGGAGAATATCCAGTTTTTCATTGTGGACTCTCCGGAGTGTCCCCTCGTCCTCGGGCACCCCTGGCTGGTCGCCCACAAACCCCAGATAGACTGGTCCATGGGGCGGCTCATCCTGGAGGGAGGCTCTGCCTCCGTCCTGGTCCAGTCTCCACCGGCCACTCATCAGCCCAAATCAGCCTACCGCCCTAGCGAAGGTTGCCACCGGGAGGATGGCGGCTACAGACTCCGTCACCGGCCCAGACCTGGCAGGATTTCCCCGGGAATATTGGGATCTGGGGGAGGTGTCTAGTAAGAGGCATGCCAAGGGCATACCTCTACACAGGCCATACGACTGCACTATCAATCTCCTGCCGGGCGCCATGCCCACACGAGGGCGATTGTTTTCCTTGTCCTGGCCAGAGACACTGGCCATGGGGGAGTATATCGATGAGGCACTCGTCGAGGGTCACATCCGTCCCTCTACCTCTCCCGCAGGCGTGGGCTTCTTCTTCGTGGAAAAAAGGATGGTGGGCAGCGGCCGTGCATTGATTACCGCTCAACGACATCACGGTTAAGAACCTCTACCCACTCCCCCTGATGACGACGGCATTCGAGTCATTGCAGGGAGCCCGGGTCTTCACCAAGCTGGACTTACGAAATGCCTACAACCTGGTGAGGATTCGGGAGGGGGAAGAGTGGAAGACGGCTTTTAATACACCCAGTGGGCATTACGAGTACCAAGTCATGCCGTTCGGTCTAGCCAACACGCCTGCGGTGTTCCAGTCATTGGTCAACGATGTGCTCTGGGACTTCCTTCGACTACAGCATCTTCGTGTATTTTGATGACATCCTAATATTTTCAAAAGACATGAGTGAACACCAGCAGCACATTCGGCAGGTCCTCCAACTCCTTCTCAATCACCAGCTCTACGTCAAGGCGGAGAAGTGCGTGTTCAACACAGAGACAGTCTCCTTCCTGGGGTTCATCATCACCCAGGGGGACCTACGGATGGACCCAGCCAAGGTCAGCGCAGTACTAGATTTGCCCCAGCCCTCATCCCTCAAGCAACTACAAAGGTTTTTATGGTTCGCAAATTTTTTTAGCCGATTTATTAGAAATTTTAGTTCCCTAGCCACTCCCCTGACAGCCCTCACCCAGCCGAGCATGCGCGGGGAACGCATTTGATGCGCTTAAGCTGCGCTTTACATCGGCCCCGGTGCTAGGGCATGCTGATCCGTCCTTGCCGTTCATTGTGGAGGTGGATGCTTCAGACGTTGCGGTGGGAGCAATCCTGTCCCAGCGGTTCCTCACGAACGGTAAGACTCACCCCTGCGCATTTTTCTCCCGTCAGCTGTCCCTGGTGGAGCGGAATTACGACTTTGGGAACCGTGAGCTGCTAGCGGTCAAGCTCGCCCTGGGGGAGTGGAGGCATTGGCTAGAGGGGGCCGCCCATCCATTCGTCGTTGGACTGACCATAAGAACTTAGCCTACATTCAGGGGGCCAAGAGGCTCAACTTGCGCCAGGCCAGGTGGGTGTTGTTCTTCACCAGGTTCCGGTTCACGATCTCATACCGTCCGGTGGACCTGGTGGAGAGGGACAACCCCATTGTCCCCAACACCCTGATTGCTGCCCCAGTTTTGTGGGGAATCGATAGGCTGGTCAGAGCAGCGCTACGGCGGGAGCCCGTGCGCTCGCGACTTCTTCAGTGGGTGTCCGACCTCACCAGCCATCTGGGGGGTGCCAGGACGTTGGAGTTCCTGCATAGGAGGTTCTGGTGGCCATCAGCTGAGGGGGATACGCGCGCCTTCATGGCTGCTTGCCCGGTGTGCGTGCGCACGAACAGCTCACGTCAACCCGCGGCATGGCTGCTCCGACCCCTGCCTATCCCCAAGCGCCCCTGGTCCAACATCTCGCTGGATTTCATTTCTGCCCTACCCTCCTTTGATGGATACACAGTCATCCTGGTCGTTGTGGACCGGTTTTCGAAGGCTGCCCACTTCATTCCCCTTCTCAAACTCCCGTCACCCGGGAGACAGCTAAGTTGGTGGTGCAGCACGTTTTCTGGGTCCACGGCCTTCCCCAAGATGTGGTGTCAGATCGGGGTCCTCAGTTCGCCTCCAGGTTCTGGAAGGAGTTTGTCACCTGCCTTGGCGCCTCCGTCAGCTTGTCTTCCTGCTTCCATCCCCAGTCGAACGGGCAGACAGTGCGCATCAACCAGGATCTGGAGGGGGTGCTGAGGTGCTACGCCTCCAGCAACCCAGCTATGTGGAGTCAGCCACTGGCATGGGTGGAGTACGCCCACAACACCCTTCTCTGTTCGTCCACCGGCCTGTCCCCCTTCCAGTGCCAATACGAGTACCAACCCCCCTATTCCCTGAGCAAGAGGAGGAAGCGGCGGTCCCGTCGGTCCAGGCCCACATCAGTCGCAGTCGCCGCACCTGGAGGCAGGTACGGGCGGCGCTTAAGCGGGCCTCGGTCAGGTCTCAACATCAGGCCAACCACAGGCGTCGCCCGGCCCCAGGTTTTCGCCCGGGACAGAGGGTGTGGCTCTCCACGTGGGATCTTCCCCTCCGCGTGGAGTCCAGGAAGGTGTCCCCCCAGTTCTTTGGGCCTTTCAGAGTGGTCATGCGAGTCAACCCAGTGGCCTACCGCCTGCAACTTCCCCCCACCATGCGGGTGCATCCCACGTTCAATGTGTACCTCCTCAAGCCCATCGTCACCTTTCCCCTGGCTCCCCCTCCTCGTCCTGTTCCCCCGCTGCGCCTCGTCCTTTGGACAGGATCCTGGACTGGGGTCTCCAAATTCTGGTGGACTAGGAGGGTTATGGGCCGAGGAGCGGTCCTTGGTGCCCAGGAGGGACATTCTGGATCCCAGGGCTGATAACAACATTCCGTCGCCGAGGTGAACGGCTGGAGCCGTTCGTCGGGGGGGTTGGGGGGGGGGGGGCACTGTTACAGGAGGGGGTCGCATTTCCAGAGCGACCCACTAGGTGTCATCCTCCGACAACCTTAGGCACCTCCCTCACTCAAAGTCTGGACTAATCATTATCTTATTGGTGTCACCTGTGTCTATCTGTTCACCTGTGTATTTATGCCCTCACTTCCCTGTGTTCCCTTGCTCAGTTTTCTGTGCTAGTTCTTGATGCCAAACAGTATTAATCAGTGTCTGATCGCGAGATGTATGTACAGGTACTTGAGAAGTGTTCTCCCTGTTTCACTGTTGTTTTCAGTCACAGTTAGTATTTCGTATGTTTGCTGTCATTCTGTTTTTGGAGACCAATTTGCTCCTCCATTATTTTTTAGTGAACTTTCATGTTCCTTAATAACCAATGTTTATGCCATCTGTAAATCAATTGTTAAATTATGAGCGTAGTTGGTTTAGCCACAGAAAAAGACAGCAACCTTCCCGCTAGCCATGATTGGCTGAGATAATGAGTGGGCTGGACATGCCGAGAGATGAGTTCGGATTGGTCTGCCATGTAGCATGCTTAGGTCTATTTGAGCTGGTCAGTATGTGTAATAGGTGATCCTTTCTAACGCTGCTTTTTTAAAAAGATATCACGGAGTAAAACTTCATAAGTATTGCTCTCCACTTTCTGGAGGACTGAGTTTTGTAGAGTATGATAGCTAAGGACATGGAGTAAACACCTTTCTCCGGATTACATCTTCAAACTAAGGCGCAACCATAGCATCCGTGACAGAGAGGGGGAAGCGTCCATCCATGTATACGGGTAAGATAGTCTAGGTAGCTACATTTTCAGATATTACACGTTTCTTATTTTGTCAGAAAGTCATTTTCATTTCAAGTTAAAGCGTACTGTTAGCTAGCAAGCTAACGTTAGCTGGCTGGCTTGCTAGCTAACATTACGTTTATGATCTGTGTAGTAATAGTATTCGTATCGCAGAGCCATTTGCATTGCTAGTTATAGCCTAATGTTAGCTAGCTAACATTGAACCTGGTTGGTTAGCTTCCTGCAGATTCATGCAGGGTAGTAATGTTATGAGTTGGGATTATGGTTCATTGTTTAGCTAACTAGCTAAACAAAAGACTCCACTATGCAAGTAACCATTTCAATAGAATGTTCATGATGTCACTGCGACAACTGTCGATAGACATAGCTGGTAAATTCGCTCTGGCTATCTACTCCGATTTCAGAGCACTCATCTGAATGTGCCAGAGTGCAGAATAACTGGCGAATTTACGAATGCTCAACACCCGTTGAATATGGCCGGTGTCAGTAAACGTTGGCAAAAAAGTATAATTAAATTGTTGCCAGCAGCACAGTTGCAGTAACCAATGCTCTGGATAACATAAAAACAGCCTAACCAGCTCTGCTAGGGCGAGTAAAATGGTCAGAGTGAACTGTTCCCTCATTTGTGTTTGGAAGTAGCTAGCAAGCTAGCCAACGTTAGCTTAGCTTGGGTGCTTGACCGCTGTTGTTAGGTCAGAACGCTCGGATCAACCATACTCCTCGGCCAGATAGTCCAGTGTGCTCTCTGAATGCTCCAAGAGCGAAACGCTCTGAATTTACAAACTGACAATATGACAACGCTCTGAGTTTACGAACGCCCAGAGCGCACTCTGAGCACACTCTGGCACTCCAGATTGAATTTACGAACACACCTGTAGTATAAACCAGCCTTTAGTCTTGAAATCTTTGGTTGTTTAGTAAATGGCCTCACATGTGAATTCTTAAAGAGCTGGGTGGGGCTAAAGCTTAAGAGGGTGTGAACGATGCTGAATGGGTGTAGACAAACAAGAGCTCTCCAGTAGGTGTACCAAAACATTCAAGGGCCATTTTCTGAAAAGTGAGGTTACAAGTTTATCAACTTTCAAAGCAGAATTACTTTCCCATTATTCCTCAACTGTAGTGTGTGATATACCATTTTCTAGCTCTGAGTCTCTACTTTTATCCAATGTAAAAAAAATAAAAATAAATGTTGCTACATAAGACCGAATCGAGCTGGTCGGTCACATGTGCTGCTTATCGTTTTATCTATACAATTTCTTACACAACTAACTCGATTTGTTTTGATGACTTGTGAGTGGAGAAGTAGAGTCTCATTTCATACAAGCGCACATTCATCCAAGTTCACTCTCCTCGCCGCCTCTCCTCATTTACCTTTGACCTTTTTCAAAAGGAGGCGAAAGAGGACGGAGGAGAGATGACGCAAGACTTGGGCAAAACCGAATCACCTGTGTGAAAGAGACGTTCATTTGGCTCCCAACAAATATCTTTAGATAAAAGCATTCTCTGAAGATGGTTATTCCTCACTGCAGGAACAATTGATAGTGAGGAGAGAGCCTCATTCTGGTCCACTCACATTTCTTTTGCAGTTCACCTTATAATTTGGTCAGTTAAAATGTATGTGAACTCACATGTCAGGATCTCATATCATGGCAGGCAACTTTTTAGGGTTAACATGAAATGTTGGCAATTTTTTCATTGTTTTAGGAAAAAAATGTAAGAGCAACTGAATGAAGAGCCGTTTGGGAGCCAAATAAATTGCTATTTTAGCTGAAAGGAGCCAAATGATCCAGCTCACCAAAAAGACTCAGAATGCCCATCCGTACTACTAGAAGCATGGCTTGAATTTTTTAGAAACACTGACAGACCCCACCCAGTACATTTTCTGCACTCTGAAAGTGGAAGGTGCTCTACGGATAAGTTTAATTTCTGATGAAACATGAGTGACCCAGTGATGTCGTAGAACAGCCTTTGTAAAACTCAGATTTGCTGACCCTTATCTTGTATCTCCAGTGTGTATTGGTTATGTGTATGTAGGCTACAATAAGCACCTTTTAGTCAATTTCAATCTTGGGTTCTGTTGACAAAGGAGAGAAACAAACACAGTCAAGACTAGATTCTGGTGGTAGGCTGCACAAGAAGGTGAGTGAGATTATTTATGGTAACTCATTTGTTTTATTTTGATGAGGACTTATTACATCATATTAAAGTATTGATCATGTTTACAAGTTTCCAAATGTTATTTTGATTGTTACATTGATCATCCTTGAGATGTTTCTACAACTTGATTGTAGTCCACCTGTGGTAAATTCAATTGATTGTACATTATTTAGTAAGGCACACATCTATCTATATTATGTCCCACAGTTGACAATGCATGTCAGAGCAAATACCAAGCTATGAGGTCAAAGGAATTGTCCGTAGAGCTCCGAGACAGGATTGTGTGTCACGTTCGTCTAATGATGGGTCAGACCAAGGCGCAGCGTGATACACGTACATGTTTATTAAACTAAATAAACACAAAACAATAAACGAAACGTGAAGTCCAAGGTAAAACACACAACATACCTTACAAGGAACAAGATCCCACAACTCAATAGTGCCAATAGGCTGCCTAAGTATGGTCCCCAATCAGAGACAACGAGCGACAGCTGCCTCTGATTGGTAACCACACCGGCCAACATAGAACTAAACATACTAGATCCCACATAGAAAATAATGCATAAGAAAGAATATACACACCCTGACTCAACATATACGAGTCCCCTGAGTCAGGGTGTGACATTGTGTCGAGGCACAGTTCTGGGGAAGGGTACCAAAAAATGTCTGCAGCATTGAAGGTCCCCAAGAACACAGTGGCCTCCATCATTCTTAAATTGAAGAAGTTTGGAATCACCAAGACTCTTCCTAGATCTGGCCTCCTGGCCATTCTGAGCAATCGGGGGAGAAGGGCCTTGGTCAAGGAGGTGACCAAGAATCCGATGGACACTCTGACAGAGCTCCAGAGTTCCTCTGTGGAGATGGGAGAACCTTCCAGAAGTACAACCATCTCTTCAGCACTCCACCAATCAGGCTTTTATCGTAGAGTGGCCAGACGGAAGAAACTCCTCAGTAAAAGGCACATGACAGCCCTCTTGGACTCAGACCATGAGAAACAAGATTATCTGGTCTGATGAAACCAAGATTGAACTCTTTGGCCTGAATGCCAAGCGTTATGTCTGGAGGAAACCTGGCATAATCCCTAAAGTGAAGCATGGTGGTGGCAGCATCATGTTGTGGGGATGTTTTTCAGCGGCAGGGACTGGGAGACTAGTCAGGATCGTGGGAAAGATGAACAGAGGAAAGTACAGAGAGATCCTTGATGAAAACCTGCTCCAGAGCACTCAGGACCTCAGACTGGGGTGAAGGTTCACCTTCCAACAGGACAGCAACCCTAAGGACACAGCAGGAGTGGCTTCGGAACAAGTCTCTGAATGTCCTTGAGTGGCCCAGCCAGAGCCCGGTCTTGAACCCAATCAAACATCTCTGGAGATACCTGAAAATAGCTGTGCAGCGACACTCCCCATCCAACCTGACAGAGCTTGAGACGATCTGCAGAGAAGAATGGGAGAAACTCTCCAAATACAGGTGTGCCAAGCTTGTAGCGTCATACCCAAGAAGACTTGAGGCTGTAATCGCTGCCAAAGTCTAAAGTCTCTGAATAGTTATGTAAATGTAATATTTACGTTTTAAATTTTTTATTCATTTGCAAACATTTCTAAAAAACTTTTTTTGCTTTGCCATTGTGGGGTGTTGTCTGTAGATTGATGAGAAAAAATAACAATTTAATCAATTTTAGAATAAGGCTGTAACGTAAAATTTTTTGGAAACAGTGAATGGGTCTGTATACTTTCCGAATGCACTGTAGGTCCGATATAGTGACAGCGCACTCCAAAATGTAAGTTTGTCAGATATTTTCTGATGTTTTGAGGGGTCCTAAAACTTTAACGTATTGCCAAGCACTAGAAATAAGTTACAGATGTATTTATTTGTTCATTAATTTATTTAATAATTGTGCAAATGCTGACACAATCTTTGTTTTGTCAATTGTGGCCATGGTTGGAAGGGGATTGCTGATGCATGGTTGGATACGGCTTGATGCTGCTCCACTGGCTAGCCAACAACATTCACACTGATGACAACGGCAACATGAGACTCAATTTCAACCCAACCAGGGGAGACTATGGCTTTCATTTCTATGGAAACAGCCCCTATGTGTTACCTTTTCTGCTTCCTGAAAGTGGAATATACTAATCACCAGAGAATAGCAACTATATTGGCTCTATGGCACTTCCTGATTTGTAACGCAAAATGTATACAACTCAAGGGGACCTGAGAACAACAGGGACAGGGTCATACTCAGAGTAGGGAGGAAGGGTCTAATCAGTTCATAGCAGATGAGGTCTATGTCACACAGCACTATCCACCAAATGGAATCAGAGGAAGTGGCTACGATCCAGACAATACATATTGTGTCAATGTCAGCCTCCTTAGCCAAATCCAAAGAATACCAACCAGGAGCAGAAATGAGATTCGACATAGATATAATGTAGAGATCAACAACAATAATCTGGTGAGAAACTACGGACACCCACCTGATCTGGCACTTCTTAGTGCAATTATATTGTACTTTAGGCGTCCCATGATCTTATTTAAGGAGCAAGCGCTTCGTTTAACATCACAACCCCAGAGTGGCATGGAGGATGACGATAATAAATAGATTAAGCTTGAGGTGAAAACCACAAATAGAGGAAAAGCCAAGATAATCTGAAGTGGTATCCCCAAAAGGCTATTGGACCAGGGTGTAATAGTGGTGCTTTATAAGAACAATGGAAGTGAGAGCAAACTAAACAGGGCCTCGGTCGGGGGCGAAGACTCTGGGAGCTATAACAGCTCAGTACCCCTTAACCCTGGTCTCCAGGTCAGGCTCCACAAGGAGTGGTGGAATTACTTTGGGTTTGGGTCTCCCACTATCGGAGAGGAGATCTGGAGAGGTTCTGAGTTTCACAATACCAACCGAGAGATTCCTGTTGATATTAACAGACATGACGCCAGTTTGCAGCTCTTCGTAAAGGATGGAATGGCCTGCGCTCACCTGTATGTAAAGAAGTCCTTCCCTGACTGGAAGAATACGTTTAATAACTCCTGGGTTGGGTTCTACTCTTCTGAAGGCACCCTGGATTATAATACCTGGCAATGGGCTGTAAAGTTCTCTGAGGAAAGCTGCTCTGATTGGGAGGATATACCTGAGTATGATGTCTATGTGTACAAGTCTAGTATGGCCATGTCTCCTGGGGTCCAGGCCAGATTCATGCTGGAGAAGTCTGGGGGTTAAAAGGCACACACTCCACCCTGGGAGAGACTTGTCCAGGGGTGAGCTCAACTGATAACATGATTCCATTTTTACTGCTTGTCTTACTGCTTTTGTCAATGTTCAACATTTATGTACCCCGCTTTTCATTTAGATGTATTTTAATTGTTAATCTGTGTGAAGTATAAAAGATAATCTGTTTGTAAAAATCCTGGTATCCCTTCTGTTCCTCTTTCTTTGCTATTTTGAGGGAGTGGCTACAGGCTGTTGGTGTTGTCTTCACAAATCCATTTTTCGATTATTTTATTTTTTGATTCATCATGGGCTGGAGCTCTTTGCATGCCATTATGTGGTGTTGACTGTGTTGGTTGGTTCTGATATGTTTGTTGTTGTTCATTTTTGTGATGTGTGAAAAATCAATACAAATGTCATCACCAAAAAGCTACATGGTAAATTCATGCGAAAATATAAGTTGCCATAACTTTTGCTGAAACATAACGTCTAATCTCCCGAGGGTGAAGGCAGTGGATGGAATCAACACTGTATGCAATATCAACAGTGTGATTGTCCTGTTTCTAGGCAACAAGTTAACCATATCTTTGTTTATCTAGAAGATACGTTTATGTTTAAGGACTAAACTATTAGACTAGCATCTACTAAACTATTCATTTATGTTGTTGGTCGCTGGTTCGTCATGGCTGATTCATTTTTCAGCTCTGTCTCTCTATCTATGATTGTTACAGATCTACCTGTAACCATCAACACAAACTATGGATTACCACACCAAACCCACTGGAGGTTAATACTGTAGATCCATGGATTATGACTGGTAATTAAAAGTCTGTGCATTCTCTCTCTCTCTCTCTCTCTCTCTCTCTCTCTCTCTCTCTCTCTCTCTCCTCTCTCTCTCTCTCTCTCTCTCTCTCTCCTCTCTCTCTCCTCCTCTCTCTCTCTCTCATTAATTGGTAATTAAAAAGGGAGAAGGAAATAAGGTCACATACTGACATTTCAGCTTCATGGGGTCTGAATCATGTAGCATGGACATGGGACATGTCAGCTTAATAATAATAATATGCCATTTAGCAGACGCTTTTATCCAAAGCGACTTACAGTCATGCGTGCATAAATTGTTTGTGTATGGGTGGTCCCGGGGATCGAACCCACTACCTTGGCGTTACAAGCGCCGTGCTCTTCCAGCTGAGCTACAGAGGACCACAAATAACTTTATTAAGAGTTAGATAATACTTCTGTTTTCAGTAGAACAACACATAATCCATGTGTGAAGGTATAAAAGAGAGGGAGGGAGGAAGGTGTAGTGGGCTGGGTGGGCCCTGTCTATCTAGGACAGAGCAAAATCCTATCCTAACTCATTCCAAATACACTTCATCAATATTCTGTCAAGAGTCTTATGAGGTACTGTAAAATTATAAAGATTTATTTGGAGTGGATAAGTAACCTAAATAACTCAACAACAGTAATGTTACTTATTTTACTGTAATCAAATGAGGACAGAGGCGCCATTTTGCTGACTGTTATTTTGCTTCTGCACTATGTACTGTGTATCTGACAGACCCTGCCCATGACCTTTTCTGTCCTCTGAAAGTGGTTTACTCACTAGGGATGCATTTAATTTCAGATTAAAAACATGTGACCCAGTGACGTCATAGATTAGCCTTCGTAAAACTCAGTTTTGCTGACGCTTGTCTTGTATATGCACTGTGTGCTGGTTATGTACAAGAAGCACCTTTCAGTCAGTTTCAATCTTGGGATCTGTTGACAGAGAAGAGAGAAACAAACACAGTCAAGACTACATTCTGGTAGGCTGCACAAGAAGGTGAGTGAGATTTTTTATGGTAACTAATTTGTTTTAATTTTGATTTGAGGATTTATTACATCATATTACTGTATTGATCATGTTTACAAGTTTCCAAACGTTATTTTGGAAAACCTTAGAGTATGAAAATGTATGCACTCAATAACTGCAAGTCGCTCTGGATAAGAGCGTCTGCTAAATTACTAAAAATGTAAATATTGGGACATATTGGTCCGATATAGTGACAGTTCACTCCAAAATGTAGTTTGTCAGATATTTTCTGACGTTTTGGGGGGTCCTAAAACTTTTAGTGTATTGCCAACCACTAAAAATAAGTTAGAGATGTATTTATTTGTTTATAATGCTATTTTGTCATAGGTTGGCCATGGTTGGAAGGGGCTTCCTGGGTTGTTTAATCCTGTGTCTGTCTCTGGCCTCAGAATGTGCTATCAAAGGTACCCTTAATTCAATAAATTATCTCAAGGACATAGACTTTGGTCACACCTCTCCTCCACAAGGCTTGATGCTGCTCCACTGGCTAGCCGACAACATTTACACTTACAACAACGGCAACATGAGAATCAATTTCAACCCAACCAGGAGAGACTATGGCTTTCATTTCTATCGAAACTATGACATACCCCGTTCGTTACCTTTTCTGCCTCCTGAAAGAGGAATATACTACTCACTAGGGAATAACAACTGCAATGGCGCTATGACACTTCCTGAGTATGTCACTAAAAGGGTATACAATTCATGGGGACCTGAGAGCAACAAGCACAGGGTCATACTCAGAGTTAGGGAGGAAGGGTCCAATCAGTTCATAGTAGACAATGTCTATGTCACACAGCACTATCCACTAAATGAAAACAGAGGAAGTGGCTCTAATCCAGACAAGACATACTGTGTCAGTTTCAACATGTAACTCTGTGTTGTTGTTTTTATCGCACTGCTTTGCTTTATCTTGGCCAGGTCGCAGTTGGAAATGAGAACTTGTTCTCAACTGGCTTACCTGGTTAAATAAAGGTTAAATAAATAAAACATTAAAATCCTAAAACAAATCCAAAGTCTCCCAACCATTGGCCGAAATGACATTCTACGTATATATAATGTAGAGATCAACCACAACAGTCTGGAGTGTCTGGAAAACATCTGGGGACACACAACTGGTTTGGCACTTCTTCTGGCAATTGTATTGTACTTTACACGTCCCAAATTCTTATTTAAGCAACAAGCGTTTCATGTAACATCACAACCACAGAGTGGCATGGAGGATAAGGATAACACATCGATTAAGCTTGAGGTGAAAACCACAAATAGAGGAAAAAACTGGATCATCTGGAGTGGTATCCCCAAGAGGCTATTGGACCAGGGTGTAATGGTGGTGCTTTATAAGAACAATGGAAGTGAGAGCAAGCTAGACAGTCCCTTGGTCGGGGGCAAAGCATCTGGGAGTTATAACACCTCAGCACCCCTTAACCCTGATCTCCAGGTCAGGCTCCACAAGGAAGTAATGATCTTGTGGGTATTTGCCATTACTGGGGACGAGCTATGTAGGCATTCTGAGTTTCATGATGCCAACAGAGAGATTCCTGTTGATATTATCGGCTATGATGCCAGTCTGCAGCTCTTCGTAAAGGATGGAAAGGCCTGCACTCGCCTGATTGTAAAGAAATCTGGGGGTGAAAAGGCACGCACTACACCCTGGGAGACTTGTCCAGGGGTGCGCTCACCTGATAACATGATATATGACATTGATATTTTCATTTTTCACTGCCTGTTTATCATTTAGCAGATGCTCTTATCCAGAGCGACATACAGTTAGTGCATTTGAAACATAATTATTATTGGTGATTCCCCCTGCCACACTATTGTAAGTTTTCGTTTAGTCTTGCATTCATTCATTCAACATGGAATCTTACTGACTGGTTTGCTTGGCTTGCTTACAAGGGGCGGTGTTTGAGTCAGAATTGACCCAGTCAAGTGCCAAACCAGTGGAAAGTTAACGGTTGCAAAGTACTGTACATATAAAGTGATTTTTATAGTCCTAAGTTCAGATCGAATGTACAAGTTAAATCAAATTGTTTGTAGACATTATATTGTACATGAGATGTGGTGTTTACTTTGTGACTATTTGTGATGGATTTTGTCTAATATGATTTCAGCTAATGCTAGCTGGTTATTCACTGTGTCTGGGGGGGTTTCATATGTTTTTGTACAGCACGTTGCATGACGTGTTATGCTGTTTCCTTTCAGGTACGTTGTTGAAATAATTGTTATATTGTGCATTGTAATTTTCATGTATTCCTATTGTTGTAGACTTGTATTATTGTTGGTAACTATGGTTACCCCTGCACAGAGTAAGATGATGATCTGTGGTGGCTTCATTACATGATGTGCTATCCATAATGTTTCCTATCAGACACAAAATCCATGACTGGTGCTGCATGCTGGAGTCTGTCGTCGAAATATTTAACTCAAAAATATCTCTCAAGAAACGGGAGCTTGTGAATCCAAAAATCAAACCTTTATTATCTAATAACAAATGCCAAGATGTTCCATGGAACAACTGTCTCTCTCTGGCTTAGACATCCCTTTTATACACACACACAAATACACAAACATGCGTACATGGCATATACAGTCACCCCCTTATGGCAAATTCCTAACTTATTTTAGTTCTACACCATCCTTCTTTTTCAACGTCCAGCTGTCACACAATGTCTACTCCAAAAGGTCATGAATGCTTTTTCCTATATGAAGCCTCTCATTCTATCATTCTATTGGCTGCGTGGCTTAGGCCCCTTCTTAAAAAATAACTAATGTAATGCATACTGTTGAGAGCTTTTGTGAAAGAACACATACATTCATTTAAAACACAGCATATACTACATGGCTATATTCCTTATTTAAGCATGTATCTGGATTATAAAATATCAAACATGTTTATTATATTTTACCTTTGGCATCTCCCTACATGTGCCATAGTGATACATAAAATACTCCTATAAGTCCTTGTCGATGATTGTTCACAACAAAACGCAAGAAGAGTACTGTTAAGGATACTTCGGGATTTCGGCAATGAGGCCCTTTATCTGCTTCCCCAGAGTCAGCGCAAGTTAGAGTTAGCAACTTCCTTGAAACTGCACACAGATACATAAAAATGGTATCCACAAGACTCTGGGGAAGTAGATAAAGGTCCTCATTGCCAAAATCTCAAAGTAGCCCTTTAAGATACTCTGGAATTTTGAGCCCTTTAAAGATATGCTCCTGGAAACTGAGTGTGAGGGTGAAAAGATGACTGGGATTATGCTGGAGCTGGACAATGGTGTTTTTGGACAAATCTCATATCAGTAGTCAGTCACTGAAGTCGACCTACAGTGGTTTCCAAACTTTTTCACACCACGGTTTGAAAAAGGAATCAGCCATGCCCCACCAGCCAGTCCACCATTTTGGAAAGTGAAAGCCCTAATATAAGGTCAGCCCAGAGGGGTGAGGAACTACACCATTAAGAACCACAGCATGATGTAGCAACTGATTTAGACTAATGACTTACACTCTCAGACCAATCAGTGACATTAATGGATTAGGTAAGTTAAGTACCAGTCAGAGGGAGAAGAGAAAATCAAATTAAATGTTATATGTCACGTGCCGATTACAACTCATGTAGACTTTACAGAGAAATGCTTGTTTACAAACCTTTCCCAATGATGCAGTATAAATTTAATATTACAAAATTAAATAGTAACTAACACAAGAGGAATACAATAAAATACACAAGAATGTAACTACATACAGGGAGTACAGATACCAGATCAATGTGCAGTGGTACGAGGTATTTGAGGAAGACGTGCAGATCAGCAGACATTGTGGCTCCCAGCAACCCATGTTGCATATGTCTGGTGCAGCCACAGTTGTGTGATGTACTGCCCTCTACTGGTCTTTACAAAGTACTATATTTATCTCACATAGCCAACATGGAGGGTCAGGGCAGAGTTTAATTCCAGATGTTTTGGCACACAGTCATACATTTGTTTTGTGTTTGTCTACTCCAACTACTAATCCACAGATAAAAGGGGAAACCTAGTTTTACTTAGTTATGATTGATTAATCTTTCCTCTTTCATCTTCAAGCACCCATGTTGGTTAGTATACTTGTGAAAACGAATGAGTAGATGGGAGAGGTGGGACTTGCAATGCGTCAAGTATCTCAAACAAACCAAGTTCTATTTTAGGAAAAATGGTTACAACGGGGGACCAGAGTGTTTGTGTCTCAGGTGAAGAGGGTAGATCTGATCTCCATCACCTAGGACTTGACATAGATTAAATAGATTGATCAAATCTCACATTGTTGTCAATTTTTGCTCAATCTTGCATGCTTTCTCAAACAGCTGTAACTATATACGCATTCGTAAATCAGGTCCTTTCTTGAGTTGGGCTCTGGGATGTAACAACTGTTGAGCATCTGATCTTATGGTTGATTGTGGAGGAAAGGGGTTGAGTGTGTTAGAGTATGTGAGTGTGTGTTTATCCCACATCTGTTGCAAGGGGGTAAGGATGTTAGGGAGAATATAGGATGAACCACAATAATTGTTTGCTAAAATAATCATTGCTTGTCAAAAATGTAATGTAAAACAATGGCAATCCGGGTTATAGGTTAGAATCCTACGCATTAACTGCCAACATTATTACGCATATTAATTGATAATGATGGAAAATAACATATGCAAGATATTTGAATAGATATATTTTTAAATAGCTATATACAGTTGAAGTCGGAGGTTTACATACATCTTAGCCAAATACATTTAAACTCAGTTTTTCACAATTCCTGACATTTAATCCTAGTAAGAATTCCCTGTCTTAGGTCAGTTAGGATCACCACTTTATTTTAAGAATGTGAAATGTCAGAATAATAGTAGAGAGAATGATTTATTTCAGCTTTTATTTCTTTCATCACATTCCCAGTGGGTCAGAAGTTTACATACACTCAATTAGTATTTGGTAGCATTGCCTATAAATTGTTTAACTTGGGTGAAACGTTTCGGGGAGCCTTCCACAAGCTTCCCACGATACGTTGGGTGAATTTTGGCCCATTCCTCCTGACAGAGCTGGTGTAACTGAGTCAGGTTTGTAGGCCTCCTTGCTCGCACATGCTTTTTCAGTTCTGCCCACACATTTTCTATAGGATTGAGGTCAGGGCTTTGTGATGGCCACTCCAATACCTTGACTTTGTTGTCCTTAAGCCATTTTGCCACAACTTTGGAAGTATGCTTGGGGACATTGTCCATTTGGAAGACCATTTGCGACCAAGCTTTAACTTCCTTCCTGACTAATGTCTTGAGATGTTGCTTCATTATATCCACATAATTTTCCTTCCTCATGATGCCATCTATTTTGTGAAGTGCACCAGTCCCTCCTGCAGCAAAGCACCCCCACAGCATGATGCTGCCACCCCTGTGCTTCACGTTGTGATGGTGTTTTCGGCTTGCAAGCGTCCCCCTTTTTCCTTCAAACATAACGATGGTCATTATGGCCAAAAAGTTATATTTTCGTTTCATCAGACCAGAGGACATTTATCCAAAAAGTACGATCTTTGTCCCCATGTGCAGTTGCAAACCGTAGTCAGGCTTTTTTTTTTTTTTTTTGGAGCAGTGACTTCTTCCTTGCTGAGCGGCCTTTAAGGTTATGTCAATATTTGACTTGTTTTACTGTGGATATAGATACTTTTGTACCTGTTTCCTCCAGCATCTTCACAAGGTCCTTTGCTGTTGTTCTGGGATTGATTTGCACTTTTCGCACCAAGGTACGTTATTCTCTAGGAGACAGAACGCTTCTCCTTCCTGAGTGGTATGACGGCTGCGTGGTCCCATGGTGTTTATACTTGCATACTATTGTTTGTACAGATGAACGTGGTACCTTCAGGCATTTGGAAATTGCTCCCAAGGATGAACCAGACTTGTGGAGGTCTACAAAACATTTGTCGGAGGTCTTGGCTGATTTCCTTTGATTTTCCCATGATGTTAAGCAAAGAGGCACTGAGTTTGAAGGTAGGCCTTGAAATACATCCACAGGTACACCTCCAATTGACTCAAATGATGTCAATTAGCCTATCAGAAGCTTCTAAAGCCATGACATCATTTTCTGTAATTTTCCAAGCTGTTTAAAGGCACAGTCAACTTCTGACCCACTGGAATTGTGAAACAGTGAATTATAAGTGAAATAATCTGTCTGTAAACAATTGTTGGAAAAATTAATTGTTTCATGCACAAAGTAGATGTCCTAACAGACTTGCCAAAACTATAGTTTGTTAACAAGAAATTTCTCTGTCAATTCCTACTGTGACTACAGCACAACTCTCTCCCAGGGCACAGTACAGGCTACTTCACTGGACCTTCTCTGCAGCATAAATCTGGCCTGGACCCCAGGAGCCATGACCATAGTAGACTTGTACACATAGACATCATACTCAGGTATGTACTCCAAATCTGATAGTTTTTCCTTAGAAAAAGACACGGCCCATTGCCAGGTATTATAGTTGAGCATGGATTTGTTATGGGAAGAGTAGAACCCAACCCAGGAGTTATTCAACCTTAACTTCCAGTCAGTGAATTACTTTTTTACAAACAGGCGAGCGCAGGCCATTCCATCCTTGACAAATAGCTGCAGACTGGAGTTAGGCCTATACCCGCTTAGATCAACAGGAATCTCTCCATTGGCATCA